TGGGTAGAGTCATCCTGAATGCCATTACATACAGCGTCTTGGCTAGCTTTGACCACAGCAAGAACAAACCAAATGAGAACAAACAGTCAAAAGAACACAACAGCTGCTCCGGGCTAAAGCCATTTGCACATAGAAGCAGCAAGCTGTCCTCTTTGAACTGAGGGAAACAGAGGGAGAGTCTGAGCCAAGACTTTTTAAAAGACACTCCTTGCTGGCACGCCGGGGAATGAAGGCGATTTGGCTGAGTGAATCGTGCCCTGCTCTGCTTTAATGCTCCAGAAAGCTGCAATTGTCCTGTAAATTGCACAGATAGCACTACTGCACATGTAGCTCCAGGTACTTCTCTCACTTCAAGCTAGTACACATGCAAGTTATTACTGTCCAATCTTTTTTTATAATCACCATTAAAATGCACCATTCACTATAGTAGTGATTCTGGCACCGCATTAAATCTTAAACAGGATTTTGCTGGAACCAACAAACAGAAAAGCATTGTGGGGGAAAAAACTTTGAATTATTCCTAAAACAAAAGTCAGAGCAGAATCAACCTTTGGCCTCTGTCCTGATGCTGCGTGGCGTGTTAGGTCATAATTTCAGGTACTTTAAGGTTAGAATGTGTTATCTGAGTGTAACTCAACACAGACCAGAGGAGGCACCATGGGAAGATTTACATGCAGCTGCCCACTGCAGATGTTTGTAATATCACCATAGCATATGGTCTTCATAACATAAAAAACCTTTTTATTCTGCTATGTCCGTTTGAGCTGTTAAATCGCAGCTTATTGGGGTTGGAGCTTGTGAAGTGCTCTGGAATTAAATATACACTTGTGTACAGCTGAGCTCCAGTGAAAAGTGGACTAAGGAGACTAAGACGATATTCAGCTTCAAACTATATACATTCACCATCCACTTTATTAGAAACACCTACCTTGCACTTCCACTCACTGGTCACTTTATTAGAAACGCCTACCTTGTACTTACACTCACTGGTCACTTTATTAGAAACGCCTACCTTGTACTTACACTCACTGGTCACTTTATTAGAAACGCCTACCTTGCACTTCCACTCACTGGTCACTTTATTAGAAACGCCTACCTTGTACTTACACTCACTGGTCACTTTATTAGAAACACCTACCCTGTACTTCCACTCACTGGTCACTTTATTAGAAACACCTACCTTGTACTTACACTCACTGGTCACTTTACTAGAAACACCTACCACGTACTTCCACTCACTGGTCACTTTATTAGAAACACCTACCTTGTACTTCCACTCACTGGTCACTTTATTAGAAACACCTACCTTGTACTTACACTCACTGGCCAATTTATTAGAAACACCTACCTTCTACTTCCACTCACTGGCCACTTTATCAGAAACGCCTACCTTGTACTTCCACTCACTGGTCACTTTATTAGCAAACACCTACCCTGTACTTCCACTCACTGGCCACTTTATTAGAAACGTCTACCTTGTACTTACACTCACTGGTCACTTTATTAGAAACACCTACCCTGTACTTCCACTCACTGGTCAATTTATTAGAAACTACCACCTTGTGCTTCCACTCACTGGCCACTTTATTAGAAACACCTACCTTCTACTTCCACTCACTGGCCACTTTATCAGAAACGCCTACCTTGTACTTCCATTCACTGGTCACTTTATTAGAAACACCTACCCTGTACTTCCACTCACCGGCCAATTTATTAGAAACAACTACTTTGTACTTCTGCTCACTGGCCACTTTATCAAGCAACCGGCAAGAACTAAGGAAGGCTGAGAGAAGGTGGCGGAAATCCCAGCTCGACTCGGATCTTAACTCCTACCAATCTCTACTTTCCAAGTTCTCACTCGAAGTTACTGCTGCAAAGTCATCCTTCTACAGAGGGAAACTGGAAGCATCAGCATCTGATCCACGCAAGCTTTTCAGCATTTTCTCCTCTCTCCTCAACCCTCCTCCTCCCCCTCCACCCTCTTCTCTCACTCCTGAGGATTTTGTCACCTTCTTTGAGGAGAAGGTTGATAGAATCCGCCAGTCTTTTCCCTCTGTCCCCACTCCTTTCACTAGACCTCCTTCTCTCGTTCTCAATCCCTTAAACTGTTTTTCTTCTCTTTCCACAGACGCTGTCCTTCAACTGATCAAATCCAGTAACCCAACCACCTGCCCACTGGATCCCATTCCATCTGCATTGTTCCAGTCAATCTCCAAGGATCTACTGCCCTTCATCACTTTTCTCATTAACAAGTCCTTGTCATCAGGTGAAGTACCATCAACTTTGAAGACTGCAAGAGTACTTCCCATCCTGAAGAAGCCCTCGCTTGACAGCTCTGATGTCAACAACTACAGACCGGTATCACTCCTTTCTTTCCTTTCAAAAATTCTTGAACGTGCAGTCTATAATCAACTGTCTCTCTTTCTCACGCAGAACCAGCTCCAGGACCCCAACCAGTCTGGCTTCAAACCAGCGCACTCAACAGAAACTGCTCTTATAGCAGTGACAGAGAAGCTCCAGTCAGCAAGATCAGCCAGTATGTCATCTGTCCTGATTCTTCTTGACCTCTCAGCAGCTTTTGACACGGTCAACCACACAATCCTTCTGGATGTCCTCACCAACCTTGGAATCACTGGCTCTGCGTGGAAGTGGTTCAAGTCCTATCTGGAGGATCGCTCTTATCAGGTAACATGGAGAGGGTCCATATCCTCTCCATGCAGGCTCTCCACTGGTGTCCCACAAGGCTCGGTGCTAGGTCCTCTTCTCTTTTCTCTTTACACTAGCTCTCTTGGCAATGTAATATCATCTCATGGCTTCTCTTATCACTGTTATGCTGATGACACTCAACTAATGCTTTCTTTCTCACCCTCGGACACACAGGTTTCCAGTCGGATCTCGGCATGTCTGTCTGACATCTCTTCATGGATGGCAGCTCACCACCTGAAGCTCAATCCTAGCAAGACTGAGCTACTGTTCATCCCTGCAACTACAGGTCCTCATCAAGATCTTGCCATCTCATTCGAGAACTCTCTGATTGTCCCGTCAGCAGAGGCAAGAAGTCTTGGTGTGGTTTTGGATGGCCAGTTATCGTTCTCGACTCACATTGTGAACCTAACTCGGTCATGCAGATTTCTGCTGTTCAACATCCGGAGGATCCGACCCTTTCTCTCGAGAGAGGCCACTCAGGTGCTAGTGCAGTCTTTTGTCATCTCAAGGCTTGACTACTGCAACTCGCTCTTGGCTGGTCTTCCGATGCAGGCCATCAGGCCTCTGCAACTCATCCAGAATGCAGCAGCAAGACTCATCTTCAATCTCCCAAAGTTCAGCCACGTCACCCCACTGCTGCGCTCCCTTCACTGGCTTCCTGTAGCTGCACGCATCAGATTTAAAACCCTTATGCTTGCCTACAAGGCCAAAAATGGACCAGCCCCTCCCTACTTGATGGCAATGGTCAAATCTCGAACTGTACCACGAGCCCTTCGAGCTTCGAGTACAGCTCGGCTTGACCCGCCATCCTTCAAGGCACGTGGAAGGCAAGCAACTAGACTGTTCTCTGTGCTGGCACCCAGGTGGTGGAACGAACTCCCACTGGCTGTCCGTACAGCAGAGTCTCTCGCTGTCTTCAAACGCAGACTGAAGACACACCTGTTTATTCAGCACTTAAATGAGCACTAAATTAAGTATTGATTGTAATGTATTGTACAGCACTTATGTATTTTATCGTATTGCACTGTTCTGTGTTTAACTCTGTCCCTTTTTCACTAGGTGTCAATGACCTTCTGATTCTACCAGTATCTGAGCTTAGGACTGACTTTCTCTCTAACCTAGCGGTAGCTAGCGAAGATTCTTTCTCTGGATAGACAAAGCACTTTTTGTAAGTCGCTCTGGATAAGAGCGTCTGCTAAATGATGTAAATGTAAATGTAAGTCCACCAACCTTAATCACCTAGAAGCACTTTATTTTGCGAAGTGTGTTATATATATGAGGAATTTGTCCAAGTGACATTAAACAGACCAGACAAATACACAGTCTATTAACAAATATTCAAAAGAAGAAAATAAGATACTAGCTAAGGGAAAGAAGAGCTGCACTGTGGTCAGAAACTAACCTTTGAGGTAGAGCTAAAGAATGGTCAACACACCAATAGATAGACTACAGTCTGTAACTGTACACCAGCAAGGTGAAGCTACAAGGGAGGAGTTTCTAATAAAGTGACTGGTGAGTTTAAATTAGACATGATGAAGGCCTAACTTTAAATGAGACACATCACTTACAACACCATTCTGAATTTGACTCTTAAGGTCAGTTGAGGAAGTCATGATTTCAACAGAGCCAACAGACAGTACACACACTGAAATATGTTCCACACTTAACACCTAAACAAACATTTAACAAGGCGGAAACCGTCTGTCGCACTGTCTGAATGAGACAAACAGCGTGTTTGTGAGCATTAATGTACTGTCTCTCAGCTTGAGTCCTGAAGGAGTGTTCAGATTCCTTCAATACTTTAACACACCTGAAGTGCACAGCAGTCAGCTGAGATTAACCAGTTGGCCTTAAAGATACAAACAGTTTGGCAAAATAACTTTTATACATTATTTGCTGTTTGAAGTTTGATTCTTTAATAATAAAAATATTTACTTAACTTACAATAATAATAGCAACACTTTTTCTTCCGGTAATTTCAAGATGGTTAATAACTCTGAGGCAGATGCACATACAAACACCATTCTATTGTTCATGTTTACAGTTATACAGTCATATGACTGTATGTCACACAGTGTCAGAAACCACATAAGAAAGTCATTAGAAATTACTTTACTCTGCTTGAGGCAAGCATGTGATGATTTACATGCAATAAGCACAGTGCTAATTGGTGGTGTACATGCTGCCATTACTTGTCAGCTACATTAGCCTGGTAGCTCCAGTGCAAAGCTAAAGAATTAAACTTCAAACACCAAACATGTCTTTGGCTGATGAACTCCAGGGGAAAATTGTACCTGTAAATATGTCCTGGCCCAGTGCAGGTGAGCGTCCATCCTTTCCATTAAGTGTGTGCTGAGAGTGGGTGGGGCCATGCAGGTGCTGGACGGACAAACATTCGCTCAGACCGTCCGGCTCCAAGTGGGGGCAAGCCCTCAGCTATCAATTAAAGATACGGACAGGTCATGTTAGCAAATAATTAAGAGTAATGAATATGAAACTGAATTGGGTAAAACTAAGATACATTGTGAAGGTGTAAAAATTTCAATATGGTATCAAAACAATCAAGAAGAAGACATGGAAACTGTATAGAAACATAAAACTGTACTGCAGATATGCATCACACCACCTTCTAAGTGTTTCCCTAATTTATCATTATGGAAACCAATGTCAATGACTAAAAATAGGCATACAGGTGCAGCCAACCTGACTAAAGAAGGCGGAGATGCGGGTGCAATGCTCGAAGGGCTTTTTTTCTGAAAAGCTTATGAATTTTAGGGGTTGCAATTTTTGGGATTTAATTTGTTCTCTAAATCAAATCGAATCAAAGTTCAGTGTAGAAAGTTTATTCTTCTTATTCTAGATATTTTATCTACTAAGGCAGTGATTGTGAGCGGTGCAGAGCAGGAATAGAGCGGTGTGATTTTGCTCGTAGTGAGGAGCAGCTTATCACAAAGTCGGAGTGTCAGTGTTCTCTCTCGCTCCGAAATCGCTCCAGTATCACTCCATCCGTTGAGTCAGACAGTCTGACTGCCTCTGTGTGACGTGAGTGGTGCGGCAGTGACTCTATAGCACACACACGACAGCCATTCATACACAGTGTCTGCGCTGCGGAGCTATTCAGCAGAACTATGTCCCAGAAATTCTCACTAAATGCAACAAAGTTCTACAGACATCTAACACAGTCAGTCTTGTGTTGTTAATTTTGCTGCACGAATGATGAAATGCTGTTAAAAGCTCGTCCATTTGTTTACCACTGGCAGATTTCCAGCTAGTGACTGGATGGTCACTTCAAGCGTAGGCCTTCCAAAAAAGAATTTGTATAGCACAGAATGTTTGGCTAGGTTTTTTAATTTGATAATGTCCATAAATTATATATTTAATGAAATAAAGGGTGTAATAATAAAGTGTCTTGTCCATACATTCGAGACATAATAAATATCACAAGAATTAATCATATGAGGTGGACATGGAGCGGGGTTTCTCTGACATGTGAGTGAGGAGCAGGAAATAGAAAAGCAGGGCGGAGCTGGAGCGGAGTGATTACAGAAACACTTTGAGCAAATGAGTGGAAATGTCTGCTGCTCCACTCACATGTTCTGTTCTCAACCCTGCATCACTCCAGCTCTGGCACCTAATTCATCTACAGGCAGAGCTTGTAAATGTGTTGATTAGTTGGGTCATGTGCGCTAAAGCAGGGAAACACCAACATATGCAGAGCAGGGGTAGTCCAGGACCAGGGTGGGAAACCACTAGACTAAAAGAATATACATATACAAGTACAGTAAATAAGATAGGAAGAAAAGGATTTCAGCATTTATGTATTACAAGCTTGCAATCCATGGCAACTTTCTTTTCCACTGACACATTCGACTCTACTGCACGCCGTGCTGACATTAGCGTTGCCCGTATTAATTCTGAATGAAGAACAAGGTTAAAGTTCACACTGACACCATACGTTCCCATCACAACATGGCTTCCATTTCGGAGCAGGGATGAGACAGTGGAGGAGAAATGAAGAAGGACACGACGAATGGAGACGCTTTTGTGTAAACTGGACGGGCACCAAACAAAAGTCTTCAATAAAGAAGCATGTCAAGTTTTGTGGCGACACTTCACCACAGCTTGGTGTAGGAAATGACGGCTTTGGAGAGGAATTACTCTTCACCACGGACAGGAACCTCTGATTGGAAACATGCAGAAAGAGGGGAAGGGAAAAACCCACGCACACAGCAGCCCTCCAAACTGTTAACACTGCATGAGTATCCCACAATGCATAGAGTTTACAAATATAACCAATGATGGTTTAGTTAAAGTTTGGCTTAGGGTTAGCAGTAGGCTTTTCATTGGTTAGTGGGTGGCACACTGACCATCAAAAGTTAGCTTTTCTAAACATTTGTAATACAAGTAACATGATAAAGCCAAGGCAAGTTTATTGTGAGGAAAACAATACCACATGTGTAAATATTAAAGACAATATTTTGATGGACAATGCTATCTACCTAATAACATATATCACCACATACGTTATCGCCATGTTGTGATATCAGCACTCACCAGCACTCAAACCCTCCAGCTGTTTAAACCATCTTTGGGCCAAAACAGTTTCAATATGTGCTTTTAGCAATAGTTTGGGAGAAAATCTGTCAAACATTACTTAGCCAAAACAAAGTCCTGACAAATATATCGGCTGGCTGATATTTTCAGTGGATGTTGATGACTGGAATGATCAAAAAACAGGCACATCATTAATTTGCAGCTTGTTTTGACTGTGGCATTGTCAGGATTCAAACCTGCAATTAACAGTTCAACAGTTCAACAGTTGTGATACTAAGAAACTCAGTATGAGCCACCCCTGGTTTAACTCTATCACAGTAATACAGAGTGAACTGGAGAATGTGAACATAAGACACCACCGTGGTTAACCCCTTAAATGGCCAGGGCCCACCGGCAGGCCCAAAGTTTTATTACACACTTCTATATCCTAAGAATAGCTCAGCCAGTTTACACAGAAATCCCTACAGTTACTGAATAATAAGCCTGGGATTTTAAGGGGTGAAAATAACATATGCGTCACACTTAGCATGAGAATAAAATGTTACAAAATTTGATTCTCATCAAAAATAGGATAATTGACAGAATCCAAAACCCAAAGAATTTTGAGTCGCTCCACCCAGAGTGTGACAATATTCCTATTATTTAATACTGTGAGTTTCTAAGTAAAAAATGTGACAACTGACTGATTGATAAATAATATGGGACACGCCTCTCAGCCAATTACAACTGTAAATCAGTCAGAATTATTAGAGTAAGAAATGGTGAAAGGTGTTAATGAGGAACGTATAATGCCTGACTCACGCTATCCTGATCATCCGGAGGGTGGAGCTGTTTTTATTTTATTCTTGAAGCTGAAAAAGTTTTGGATTAAACTCTGTGGAAGACCAAACTCACAGCTCAGCATCAAAACTACTACCAGTCAGAATTATACTGGCTCTACAGTACGCTATACCTTATCCGGGTTACTGTATTTGCTAACACTCATGTTACCAACCAAAAGTTATTTAATATGGTAAGAACAATGTTCAGATGTTTTCTTAGCTTCACTGTCCAGCTTTAGTATTAGCTGATCTGAAGGGGTAGATTCTGTTGTTCAGATTCCTCCTTGTCAGATATGAAAAGATGCTGCTTAACGTCGAGTGACTAAAAGATTTCCCTGGTTTGATTAATGTTAACATGGTTTCCAGAATCCTTTTTTTTGTATAAAGTGGCCAACATAGTTGTTCTGTCATTCTCAAACATGCATGTCTGAACTGAACATCTTGTAAAGCCAGGTCATTTTTCAATAATAAAATGTTATCTCAAACTCCTCTGTGTGCATCTAACATTTGCTTTACACTATAGAACTTTTTAGTCTGTTAGCACAAGATGCTACCAGTTAGTTTGACGAACATAGCAACAATTACTGACACGTAATTTTCGTAAACAGGAATTTTTTGACAATCTGACAATCATATCAGCCAGTGAAGCACTGCTGAAGTATAGAATTAAAATGTAAAATACGAATCTAAACATTTGCTGATATTGGTTATCTCAATATTTAGCCCTATAAAATAAGTATCTTTAACACCACAAAATCGGTGATGTCCTAGGCAAAACTTGCTCTTCTTACCAAGGAAGACACTCTGATGAACATGAAGCTGCGTGTTGAAGATAAATATAACCAAAGCATTAGCACAGAGCTCCTTTACACTAACAAAACCACTGAAAGTGTTTCTTTAGCGTCACTGAAAAGTAACTGTGTAAAACACTTCAAAAGAAGGCAAACTTTTGATGGGCAGTGTGCTTCTACATCTTCTAAAATTCCCAGCTAGTCATGACACACTGCTTATAAGTTGGGAAACCTCCATCACCATGGTCAGGCCACTTTTCTTGCCAGTTTTCTTCAGCACTTCCTCCGTAACGCAACCCAACAGAGGCCCTGAACAGACGTTTGAGTGACAGATGACATTTGTTTAGAGATTGGAGTGCCGTGCATTTTTTTGCCCAGTCCTGATTGCCTTTGAAAGCTCACACTTGAGCATGGGCATGAGGTTTTTAACAAATACGATCCGTTTATAAAATTAATTCAGGCTGACTGTACATCTGGGCATGATTCCGCTGAACAGAAGATGCTTTAAACGAGGCATGACACGAACTTTAAGAAGTTATTTTCATTTATACAATTCCGAAATAAATTTAAGCAGATGTCATGATTTCAAAATAAAGATACTGATTGCCATCTGAATATTAGGAATCAGGGGGAAGAAAGTGAACAATGAGCATATTTGTTGTTGGCTACGTGGTAACAGAAACTCTGGCACTGTGGACAACAGAGCGTGGCACACCTTCCACAGGGCCGCAGTCACATACTTTCCAGCCATTCATCAGGCAGATGAGCGTGTTTCATCTTTCCTCAGCACGACACCATGCGATAGACGGGGAAAGAGGCTTTGTTTGACATTTGTCCGCCACATCTGGCTGGCGGGGTTTTGCGCTCAGCGGCTTATTAACATCGACTCGCGCTCACATGTGTTTCCGCTTTGTGCTGCTTAGCGAAAGGAACGCATCGTCATCCAGCCGCCACTTAGCCGCGCACAACAATGAGGCCATTCTGTTCATATTTACGTGCTTTAATGAGGAATGCGTTCTCTGCCGTGTATAACGCCGAAATGCGGTCAGCGCTGATGTATTGTTGGGGGGAAATGATTTTCAAAGACAGAGCTAAATAAAAACCAACTGTGCTAAGCCGTGAAAAGGACGCAATTGACCATGAAGGATACCTACTGCAAATGTGTGTTCCTTAAAGCACTGTTTATCCGAGAGCTACCTGCATTGCGCAGCGATTCGGGTTTCTGACCCTGTCTGATAAACTGTTATATATGTCTTGGCTGACTGAATATATTGTCCAAACAAGGGGGGAAACTGTAAATTTGACTTTCCACCAAACTATCATTTTAAAGTCCTGTTTTCCCCTGTTTTAATGGAGCGCTTACCTTTCTACGCACCTGCTGCTCTTTGGCGGAGTGGATCTTGACATGCTTGCGAAGGGAGCTGGGGTCTGTGTAGCGCTTGGTGCAGCCGGGGATCTGACATGCGTACGGTTTCTAAAACACAAAATGCAGAACAAGAACTGAAGATTAGCCCCTTAAACTCTTTGGGCCTGTATGTGGGTGCACACTTCAATTCTACTGAATAATTAAGTACATAAATAAGTACAATTCTAAAAAAAACAAAACATGCAGGTTATTTGGTATATTTTGAGAGGTAAGAGTAGAAATTTGAAATAAAGTTTAAGCGGAAAAGGAAAGGAAGCAACATACCTTTCAGCTGAGCATTTTTACAGCGGAAAAATGAAAGAAGAAGAGGACAGACATTTCAGTACCTTTTGAAAACTCATGCATTAGCAAAACATTTTCTTTACTGATGTCACTTCAGGCCTGAATGAGAGCCAGTGCTGAACATCCAGCTGCGTATTACATACAATAAAGTACACTTACTAATATACACTCAATGGTCAATTTATTAGGTATCCTGTATTCACACTCATTGAAAATTTAATCAGCTCCACTTACCATACAAGTGCACTAGTTCTACAATTACAGACTGTAGTCCGTTCACCTAGTTCTTCAATGGTCAGGACCCCCACAGGACCACCACAGAGTAGGTATTATTTCGGTGGAGGGTCATTCTCAGCACTGCAGTCACACTGACGTGGTGGTGGTGTGTTAGTGTGTGTCATGCTGGTCTGATCCACTCGCACCAGCACAACACACACTAATACACCACCACCACGTCAGTGTGACTGCAGTGCTGAGAATAACCCACCACCCAAATAGTACCTGCTCTGTGGTGGTCCTGTGGGGGTCCTGACCATTGAAGAACAGGTTAACAAAGTATGCAGAGAAACAGATGGACTACAGTTTGTAACTGTATATCTAAAGTGCTCCTATATGGTCAGTGGAGCTGATAAAATGGGTAATAAATGTAGATATGAGGTAGGTGTACCTAATAAAGTGCTCAGTTCAATCTTAATGTCTTATTATCTATACAACTCATTTTAAAATAACATGATATCACAAAAAAAACAGCACATTTACACAAAGATCTGCCTGATAAGTCTACAGCAGTTTAACTTAAGGATACAACAACAAAAACATGCTATTTAATTCTCAGGGATAGAAGTAGAAATAAAAAAGGGATAAATGGATGAAGAGAGGTTTGAAAACTGTCAAGTAAAAATGAATTATGACTATTCTTGCGTACATAAAATGCCCAGGTTTTGAATGGATCTCAGTGAAAAAACAATAAGAAAAATGCAAATTACAGATGTTAAAAAAGGGAACGAGGGCTGCCAGCTGACCTTGACACGGGCAGAATTAAACTGAATTAATCCCTGTATGTCGGAAGATTAGCTAAATTGAAATAAGCTACAAAACCCTCAGTGTTTTTGCACTTTGGTAGGACAAGCTCAAATATAAGAAAGCCACTTTCTCCTGTACGTGTTTCAGGTCTTTTCTCACACAGAAAAAACAGTAGTCATTAAAGTGAAAGTGGATAGCTTTCCTTTATGAGCTCTCCTTTCCTTCCTTCTACCTCTCTGTTAATAACTATTTTTACTAGCAGCCTGTGTGCCGCTGTTTGTTTTCCCTTCGCAACTCCACACAGTCACCGTACAGTTAAACAGGCCAAACACAGAGAGCGAGAGAGGGATGGAAAAAAGGAGAGAGAAGGAAAAAGAGCTGTGTGGAGGATAAATTTCATTTCATTACACTCAGAGTGATTTTCTCGCTGTATATGAGGCGTGTTGTGTTGGGTGTGTTGGAGATGATGGCCTAATTAGCCGTAGCATCGTGTAGTAGCTCCACTAAGCAGCTTTCTGCCTGTTTACACCTTGCATTAACATGAGTTTCGAGTCCAGATCGTATCTGGATAAACTTCGGGCAAATTCCACTTACACTTTTCACTAAAATGTGTCTCTATGCTGACTAGATGAGATCCAATTGTACTTTTCTGCATAAAAGGCACGACAGTATATACATCGCTTCCATTTTCCAAGTGTCCAGCGAAGCGTTCTCCTTTAGCAGCTGTAGCCAGTCAGCAGCCTGTCTATGTTGTCCACTCTCTCACACACACACACACACACACAGACGCCCACACACTAACAGCAGGCCATGTAGGAGAACAGAGTGAAGGACACAGCACCTCCACACTTTTATTCCCTGCGGGTTCAGCCCAACACCACATGTGTAATATAAATGTGTGGGGGGTGAACAGAGTGAAGACACTGAAAATGTGTTATTTTATATGTTCTTCACAGAAAATGAGCAAAAGGCCAAGAATCTGAGGTTGAAATAATAATAAATCACATCAATTTTTTTTTGGTAAACACTGAAAATGTGTCTTACAGACCTGAACACCACACAAGGGTTAAAATCAACTAGTCAGCGCTCAGCAGACACATTTCTGCTCACGTAATTGTATACGGATAAAAACATGCTCTGTTTACACATTCATTAAATGCGGTCAAAATCCGTCCCTGACCAGCTCCGAATGTGGGCTGAACGATCCAACCGTAATCCGATCACAAAGCGTCCTATAGGTGTTTACACGTGGCTTTTCATATGGTCAAGTGAAATGCAAGCGTGATCCGATCACCAAAAACGCAAGTTTATTTGTGTAAACAGGCCCACAGTGTCTCTCGTCCTACACCTCTCCCTCTCTCTCCCCTTTCTTTCTTATACTCTCTCCATCTGTCTTTTTATTCCATCTTTCTCTCCCCCTTGCATCTCTCTCTTTCCCCTTCTGTCTCTCCTTCTCTCTCTTTCTCCCTCTCACACACACTTTCTCTTTCTCTGTACATCTCTCTCCATCTCTCTTTCCCTCTCCCCTCACATTTTCTTCTATTTCTTTCTTTCACACCTTTTCTATCTCTCACTTCCTATTTTTCTTTCCTTCCTTGTCTCTTCTTCACACATTCTTTTTCCATCTCTATCTTTCTCTCTCACTTTTTTCTTTATCTCTCTCTCTCCTTATCTCCCTCTTTCTCTCTTCTTCAATTTCTTGCTCTCTCCCTCTCTATCCCTTTCTACCTTATCTTAATTCTTTCTCTCCCTCTCTCACACCTCCTCTTTCACACTCTCACATTCTTTCTCTTTCTTTACCTCTCTTTCCCTCTGTCTCTCCCTCCCTGACTCTCTCTCTCTCTCTCTCTCTCTGTTTTCTATGTGCCGTTACTCTCTCTAACGGAGCGCAGTGTTAAATGGTCTGTATCTGCGGTTCCCCCTCATCAGTACAGAGGGCGCCATCACAGTGACTGACTGTGTAAGCAGTGAGCTTTAACTTTGTGCAGAATCAATAACTTAATCTTTCTTCGGCCGTCGTCGCTCTGTGTCATGAGCCGTAAACCCAAACAGTCTAAATAAAAAAAATAAAAAATTAAAAGACAGAAGGACTTTATGAGCTACTGGAAAATTAAGTTAGCCAGACACTGTAATCTAGTTTTTTTAGTCTAACACTAAACTTAACCTTAAATCTAACCCTCATTCTAACACTAACCTTAACCTTAAACCTAAAATTCACTCCAACACTAACCTTAACCTTAAACCTAAAACTCACTCTAACACTAAACCGTAAACTTAAAATTTACTTTAACACTAACCCTAAACCACTCATTCTTACACAAAACTTAACCTTGAACCTAAATAAAACCACTCACTCTAATACTAACCTAAAACTTTAACCTAAACATTCATGCTTATACTAAGCTTAATCCTTAAACCTACCACTCGCTCTAACACTAACCTTAACACTCACACTAAAGCTGGCTGTATGTGAAAAACAAAAAAAAACTAATCAAAACCAAACGACCGCCAATCAACACATAACGACATGTAACAGTACATTCATGTGACTTTATAAAGGAGCTCTGAACTACAGCTGCCAGGCCTAAATACACACACACACACACACACACACATACACACACACACACACACACACACACACACACACACATATACACACACACACACACACACACACACAAACACACACACACACACACACACACACACACACACACACAAACACAAACACACACACACACACACATACATACACACACATACACACACACACACACACACACACAAACACAAACACACACACACACACACACACACACACACATACACACACACACAGACACACACACGTGCGCATGCTGAGCTCTTACAGTGTCCAGGTGAGTGCGCTGGTGCTTGGCTCTGTCGCTGGAGTTGCTGAAAGCTTTCTGGCAGCCCGGGTGCTGGCACAGGTACGGCTTCTCTCCAGTGTGACTCCGCAGGTGAATCTTCAGATTTTCCAAACGGGAAAAGGCCTTATTACAGCCTTCAAACTGAGAGAGAGAGAGAGAGAGAGAGAGAGAGAGAGAGATAGATAGATACAGAGAAAGAGTTAGATAGAGAGACGAGATAATAGAAAGTGCAATAGGGAAAGAGAAGATACAGTGACAGTCAGAGAGTAAAGAAAAGAGAGTACAGAAAAGGTGTGTGTTCATGAGAGAAGAGACCATAAAAAAAAGAGTGAGGACAGCAAAAAAGAGAGAGAGAAAAAAAGTTTTGGCACTGACACTTCTCACATTTTAATGTGCAGTTGCTGTTTATTTGCTCAATTTAACTGATTAAAAAAATAAAATGGACCTGTATGAAGGTTCTGGCACATTGCAAAAAATGGTATCATGTCAAGTGAAATTATCTTAATTCTAGTCGATAATATCTCATATTTCTTATTTTGAGATGGTTGTGCACTTAATATAAGATTTTTTAGCCTACTCCTTGACATATTATACTCGTTTAAGGTACTGGTTAGCCAAACTTGGTACTGGATGATAACTACATGGCTACTGGGCTGCAATGAGGAGAGTTTTGGAAAGTGTTAAACAAACACACTGATGTGTAAAATCATTACTTACTGTATTCACTCTATTTTTATTTTTATTTATATTAGTGTTCTACTGAGCAAATAAACATTTACTGCACATATAAACAATCTATTAATTGTTCTTTTGTTTGTTTAGCATTTGAAAAATATCGCTAAAGTTGGGCCTTTTCTATCTCAGAGCGATGCAGAGAAACTTGTTCATGCATTTGTCACAAGCAGAGTTGATCACTGTAATGGTCTTCTTACTGAACTTCCTAAGAAAACAGTACATCCTTTACAACTCACACAAAATATATCAGCACAGATCCTAACAAACACAAAACAGAGAGATCAGATCACTCCCACTTTAAAAGAACTGCACTGGCTACCTGTATAGTTCAGGATAGATTTTAAAGTTCTGCTACTAGGTTTTAAGGCTCTAAATGACCTTCAAGAACTGCTTACATCACATAATGTCTGTTTATGATCCAACACGTGATCTTAGATCTTCAGATACTGACCTTCTGCAAAAAAACCTTCTGTAAAATACAGAAAACATGGAGACTCTTTCTGTTATTCTGCTTCTAAACTGTGCAGCTCAATTCACCTATTATTAGCTCAGTGCTCACTTTTAAGAAACATCTAAAAACGTATCTCTTTAACTCAGTATTTAATTAAAACTCTACATCTCGTAGTACTTATCTTTTTATCCCATCTGTGTCATTTCCTTATATGATCTTAATTAAATACTTATAATTTCTTCTAATACTGTTAAGCTTTATCACCTGTCTGTAAAGCACTTTGAGCTACCACCGGCATGAAACGTGCTATGTAAATAAAGATTACCATAATTATTATTATTATTAGTAGTAGTAGTATTTTCACAGGTGCCTAAAAACGTTGCCTTTGGCACAGTACTGTACTTATGTATTTGCATGTGTGTGTGTGTGTGTGTGTGTGTGTGTTACAGACAGATAAACAGTATTTAAGAGGTGTTCTGCTCTCCAGCGTCTCAGTGCACTCTTAAACTTTATTAACCCATCTCATTATTCATTAGAGCGCTACTGGGTCACGGCCCTCCTCCACTTCTTCACTTCTTCATCCACTTAAACATTTAACCACTGGCCTGTGCATGTGTAGCCTAAGCCTGACCAACACCTACAGCTAACTGTACCGTGAAACACATCTCTAACTCATCTATATAATGGGCCCTAAAGTAGCCATGTTAGCCTGACATCAATACCGACTCTCTCTCTTCCCTCAGATCGTGAACAATGGATGCCTTTGGCACCTATTAGGATCTTCCTGTCCAATCACTTAGCGGATATTTTATCCCCAAGCTCCGCCCCCTCATTGTCCAGTTCGAGCTCAGTTCGAGCGTGAGGCCCCAGGTCCGTTTTCACTGAAGGAGAGAGAGGCTTCTATTCTTCCACAAATAAAACCATCTCTCTCTCTCTCTCTCTCTCACTCTCTCTCTTCTAATGAACCTTCAGAACGCTCTGCCCTCCTTCACTCACAGCGGCTCGCTATTGAGGCTATTCAATACAGCCTGAAACTCTATACTGACACGGACAGGGCAGATTGAGTGACCTCTGTTACATGTGTGTGTATGTGTGTGTGTTTGTTTTTGGCCATTTTCAGGACAAACATGTGCTTAGTATGTAGGAAAACGTCATCATAACTTTTCTGCTTATGTCTAATCAACCGAGACTGACCAAAACTGTTCAGATATCACAATAACATGCATGTTTGTTAACTGCATTATATATATGTTATGTCAAATTTGATACGTTAACTCAAATTTGCTGACTGAAATGTTACTGTTTGCCCCTTTAACAGAGTTGGTGAGCGTGCATGTCCATGTTGGTCAGTAAAATGGAATTTACAGCAACATTTTTATTTTTACAAAAGCTCCACATTTCATTTTTAAAACTGAAAGGGCAAAACTGTTTTTAATTTTTGTTTATAGATGTTAATATTAGGGTTGGGTTTTTAGAAAGTGGCTTAGAAAATTATTATTGCATATCAGAGTACGTGAGCGGAGAGGAGTAGCAGCACTTTCCACGCCGGATTCAAAGCGTTTCATAATCCCTCAACTCCTGCTCCACTCTGGGTTTTCTATTTTCTGCTCAATATCCATATTCTCAATTAGATTAATTACTCTGTTATTAATAAAAAAAAGTTTAACATTTGGAGCTCACATATTTTCCAGAAGGTACACAGACCAATCATAAGTCAGAAAACCGCCATGGGCTAACAAATGGACGTTGTTGCAGGCCAGTTACACCCCTTCATGGCAATGGTATTTCCCGATGGCAGTGGCCTCTTTCAGCAGGATAATGCGCCCTGCCACACTGCACACGTTGTTCAGGAATGGTTTGAGGAACATGATGAAGAGTTCAAGATGTTGCCCTGGCCTCCAAAGTACCCCAATCTCAATCCAATCAAGCACCTGTGGGATGTAATGGAACAAGTCCGACCTGCCGTGGCTCCACTTCTTACAGGACTTTTAAGAGATCTGCTGCTAATGTCTTGGTGCTAAATACCACAGAGCACCTTCGGAGTCTTACGGCATCCGTAAGTCGGAGCTGTTTTCATGGCATACGGAGGACTAACAGCTTATCTAGGTCATCTGATTGGTGTAGCTACTTACATATATATATTAAGCATATGGGACACATTATTACTAAACATGGGTATGTGCATATATATAATACATATGGGACATGCTATTATTAAATATAGGTACTTATATATAATATATATGAGACTTAATATTATTAAAAGCAGACGGTTACATGTGAAACACTGATATGCATATACATTCTTATTTTATATATATAAATGTGTGTATACATATATATCGCTGCTGTCGGAAGAAAATCTTGTATCTCCACTTTTGTCGTTTTTCAGTTTTTGACATAATTTGAAAATGCCTGTTGGCCTTTACATTGTATGTAAATTTCACGTAGGATGGACCAAAGGAGATGACCCAAAACGACTTGGAAAAAAGCCTGGTTCCACTGACTTACATTAATATATATATACTTATATATATATATATATTTATATACACACACACAAATAATCCGTATGTCCACTCCACATGGTCAGCAGACAGGCAGAAATGTGTCCACTTATCTGAAGTATTTCAGAAAACATATCAGACCCCACACCATCCACTGTTATTCCACAGAATCAAACTCTACCCTGGAAAAGTCTCACACCAGCCCATCCCCACAAACCCACCCCATGCTGACTGCCAAAACACGCCCTGCAAATCTGAGTTTTGAAAACAAACACTGAGCGTTCAGATGTGCCAAAACGTGTGTGTATTTATGCGTAAGGGAAATAATCACTCTTTTATTGCTTTCTTTAACGTAATACAAATTTCAGGCTAAATTGAATTTACGAGTCTGCTGAGAGAGGAGCCACCTTCAGCCCTGCCACGCACTGTTCGCTTCTCAATCTGTGCATGCACCACTGCATTCTGGGATACCTTACAAATACAACAAACCGCCAAGCTTTAATCTATATGTCAGAGAGGACTTTCACTCTGTTACTCTCTCTCTGTCTCTCTCTCTCTTTCTGTCTCTCTCTCTCACACACAGTATTTTTTAATTGTTATTGCGATATGAGTCATTGCCAGGCTAATATCAATGTTTAGGCTGTGAGAGGCAAATGAGCCCTCTAACCAATCACATGTACACACAATTTACACACTCACACAGCCGTAAGGACTGATGTTACAGTACACTGTACGACAGTAGAAGGTAGTTTGCTGGTAGAGATTCTGCTGCGGTAGTTAGTTAGATCACTCAAGCTATATATATATATATATATATATATATATATATATATATATATATATATTTTCTCTCCTTTTTTTTATATATTTATATATATATATATATACACCGATAAAGCTTAACATTATGACCACCTCCTTGTTTCTACGCTCATTGTCCATTTTATCAGCTCCACTTACTATATAGGTGCACTTTGTAGTTCTACAGTTACAAACTGTAGTCCATCTGTTTCTCTGCATACTTTGTTAGCCCCCTTTTACCCTGTTCTTCAGTGGTAAGGACCCCCATGGACCCTCACAGCTTAGTAGCTTTCAAGGAAGTCGCCATTGGCTTAGTAGATTTCAAGGAAGCCGCCATTGGCTTGCTCATGGGGACTCGGACCTGGATTTTTCTGTAAAGCTGCTTTGTGACAACACCTGTTATAAAAGGTGCTATATAAATAAACTTTGACTTGACTTGAAGAAATATCATCCAGGTATCAGTAATGGTTGATACAAAGTTTCAGTTTTACAATTAATCAAATATGAATGAAATTCTGAATATTTAGAAATCAACATGATTTCCATAACACATATCAGTGCCAAAATGATTGATATGTAACAGAACCTCACACAAATTTCAAATATTAACTCTAACTCTTCATTGTAAGTTTAATCAACAAGCACAA